GGAGGAGGCAGGCCCAGGGAGGGGAGCTGGATAGCAGCCAAGCATGGTAGATCACAGCTCAGAGGAAAACTTAATAGTAGATTGTGTCTGCTGAACAGATCAATAGTCATCTATGACAGTGGTCCTCAACCTTTTGGGCACCAGGGAGTGGTTTTGTGAAGAGAGATTTTTCTACGGACCGGAGGGGGTGTGGTTTTGTGTGCATCCCGTGGATGGGGCTTTGCTTGTTTACGTGGCCCAGTTTCTGGCATGCCAAGGACTGGTGCAGGTACACAGACTGGGGGTTGGAGCCCCCTGGTCTATGGAGATTCTCAGTCATCCAAGTCATGGTTGTCCCAAACGTTCTTTTTCAAAAGGCAATTGGACTTTCTTTAGAAGGAAAAAAAGAAAGTCCAGTTGCCTTTTGAAAAAGCATCTTTGGGACATATCAATAGTCATTCCAGTCACAGTGCTCAGTCCTTTTCTGATTGGGACATTTGGGGTTATGCTGTCCCAAAGTAGAAGGCTGAGCAAAGACAGAGCAGGATTAAAATTATTTCATGTAGCTGAATTTAAATTCAATTAATAACATGATGTGATCCCCCCAATAATTATTCTCTCCTTTTTTCATATTAAAAACCCCAACTTAGTAGCAACTTTCATAAGTACTTTGGGGGGAGGGGGGCTCGTCCCATTTTTTGTGTGTGGGAGAAGATGTGGCTGGGTGCATGATGTGCAATGCAGGGTTAGGGGCTGAATTACACATATATTCAAACTTCCAGGTACTATACCATGTCTCTCACTCCACTTTGAAAGTGACAAAATTGTTTCTGCACAGGAAATGTAAAGCTACGCCTACTTGACCACCTAGAAAGGGGAGTTGTGAGAAGTGGCCCTTTGGAGGAAGAGTTTACAAAGGAAATAGCTCACTATTAACTGCAAGTTGAGCTATCAGAGCTTTTCATATTTCAGAGTTTGACAAGCACTCATTGATCTCTGATGAGTACCGGTATGTTCTCCCTATAGGGAATATAAAAGCAAAAGAAAAGACAGTCTGCTGAATGTCATTTAGACAAACATTTAGAAGTCTTCAATAATCCATTGTGCTACAGTTTGCAAATCAGTTAAACTACTGCAGCTTGTCTAAATAATTCAACTTTAATAAGCTTCATTCTTGTGGCAAAACCCATTAAGGTTTATCATTGATCCTTAGCTGCAAAAGGATATTAGAAAGCCCTGAGCAGATTATCATAAACACTCCTTATCTTGGGTAACTGAGAATAGTGGCCTATGCTGTCAATATCCTAAACCAGTGATGAACAGACTTCAGGCTTCTTAGATCTGTTGCATTGACTTGAATTTAAAGAAAATGAATGATGTGCTTATAATACAAACGGAATTGAGGGCAGATGTGTACTTTCAGCAGTCAGAATTCAGCACTCCATGTGCACCTGAAAGAAAAGGGCCACTCTTCTGAAGACAGCAAGGTTTGCATCCTGAACAGAGAGGACTACTGGTTTGAAAGAGGAGTCAAAGAGGTTATCTATGTTAAAATTGAACAGCCCACTCTCAACAGAGGGGGGAGGGGTAAAACACCATTTACCTCCTGTTTACAATGCAGCCCTTTCAGCAGTCCCAAGACATTCCACACTTGTTTGCATTCTGATTCAGGAACTCTAAGGACATAGATTAGCCCCTAGATCAGTGATGGCTAACTTTTTTGCCATCGCATGCCAAAAGCGGGGGGAACGTGGGGGGTCACGGGTGCTTGTGCCCACATCCATAATTCAATGCGGCGCCCCTCCCGCGCATGCGCTCGTGACCCCCCCCACACTCCCCTCTGCTTTTGGCATGCGATGGCACGGCGGGCCCAGTAGGCCTGTTTTTCCTCCTCCCCAGGCTCCAGAGGCTTCCTAGGAGCCTGGGGAGGGCAAAAACAGCCTCCTCCACCACCCCCCAGAGGCCTTCTGGAGGCCGGAAACAGCCAGTTTCCCGACTTCCGGTGGGACCGGAAGGCCTGAAAATCAGTTGGCCGGTACACACATGCGCGCTGGAGCTGAGCTACAGCAACACTCGCGTGCCCACCAATATGGCTCCGTGTGTGCCACCTGTGGCACCCGTGCCATAGGTTCACCATCACGGCCCTAGATTGTTCAAGGATGCTCAGAGTTTTAACGACTGGCTGTCTGCAGAGGGTATAAATCCCCTCCATTCCCCACCAATTAGTTAGAACTGAAGAAGCTTCTTGGATAAGAAGTGAAATATCTTAAAGAAAAAACAGAAAGACCAGTTACCTTTAAAAAAGAAAAAAGCACCTTTGGGACAACCATGATCTGGATGACTGGGAAGCCCCCGAGACGTTCAGAACCAATCATTTTTGTCAATGTTTGGTGTCTACCATCAATGAACACACAAACCAATTATGAAAATAGCAACTCTATTATGCTCTAATGAAAGGTCTATTTTTAATGTAGCCAACAAAAGGTGTCACACTTAACAAAAGGGATGCATTTACAATATCTGCAAGGTTCTATGCGCCCTTCAGAAACCATATGCTGCAGCATGTTCGTGCGTTATAAAATGCTGAAAACTGTGAAAGCATAAATAGAAAGGGGAATGACGGTCCTTTTCATCAGAACACACACTGGCAAGAAGAATAGACACCGCAGTCCCCCGTTTGCTTTATTTTTACCTCTTTTTCCCACACAGAATCCCTGCCTTGAGATGGGCAGCCATATAAATAGTTGAAATAAAGACATAAAACTACATTCTTTCTGTAGTATTGGAAATCTTCTATGAACACAGCCAAAAGTATTGGTTCCCCCCTCCCACTTTTTCTCCAAAGAATTCCAATTTGGGTGAAATAAATTGAAATTGATACATATAGTATCCTCCATTCTTTAATCCCTAGTCCATAGAGCAGACACTTTGCTTCAAGTGTTTTCTATAGCTGCAAATAAGGCTGAATGGGAGAGAAAGACAGGGTGCCTTAAATCTATTCAGGGCACAATGATAGCAGATGCTCTGTCTCAGTTGCAGGTAACGAGTCCAGATGGCTAATATCCCAAAACATACATCTAAATGACCAAAAATGGTTGAAGAGCAAACATTGGACTGTTCTGAAGGGGCCTGCTATGAGTCCCAATAGAACGTTTATGGGAAGAGCTGAAACTTGGGAGAAGGAACCCATGCAACCCAATAAAATTGGATAGGCTTGTTGAAAAAGGAAAAAATTGCCAGCTAAGAGGTATAGAAATTCAGAGCTACAGAAAGCCCTTTGTTACAATTATTGCCTCAAAAGTGTATGCTATGAAATATTAGGTTAAGGGTACCAATAATTATTATATCCATGCCAATTTCATTTATTACTTTACATATCCCAAAAGCAAAGTGTCTGATCTATGGACTACAAAGAAGAGTGGCTATTTAATTGTATCAGTTTCAACTGATTTCCCAGCAAATTGGGGTCTTGGGGGGGAAAGTGGATGGGTACCAATATTTTTTGGCAGCATTTTTTGGATATTTGAGTGGAAGAGAGTCAGAGGACAATCTAGATTCTAGAAGCTTTAAAACAGCCTTCCACAACCATTAATTGGGGATTTGGTGAGCTGCAATTTGACGAGCTGTACACTTACCCCCAGTTGGAGAAAGCTATGTCCCATTTAATTCAGAAAGATATACCTCAAAGTGGACAGGTTGAATATTTCAAGTCACGTTGGTCAATTGAGGAAAAATTCTGAAGATGGGTCTTCCTGGTGAATGAGTTGTAAAATCCACAATGCACCTAAAATACAGTGTGCTAACCCCCAAATAAACAAGTCTAAGATTGCACTGCAAGAATTTTAATTTGGTTTTGTTGTGTTCCTCTAGTTTAAGACAGTGCTTTTTGCTTTGTCACTGACAACAAAAGGAACACATTTTTACAGGGATGATTCATAGGTATAAAATTTCCAAGAGGTGTGCTTGTTTTCTAAACTTTAAAAGTGACTCCAGGAATATCTAATCAGGGACGGAACCATGATGGGTAAATAAATCCCTCCTCAAACTGCAGTTTAATAGGAGTGCACGAAGGAAGCCCTGCCACTAGATTAGGGTTAATTTGATAGAAGAAGAATTTAAGGGACAGAATACCTTAGAACAGGGGTATCAAACTGGATTTCTTCGAGGGCCAGATCAGCTTTGTAGTTCTCTTCTGCGGGCTGGGGGGGGGGAGGAACAGGGAGAAGGGTGAGATGGGACGGATCCCTCCTGCAACACCCTGCTGGCCAAAATGGGGTGTGGGAGGGCTGAACGGCCTCCTGCAGCACTTTACCAGCCAAAATGGGGAATGGGGAGCCTCCCGAGGCCCCCGTGCAGCCCCTTTTCATCCTCCCCAGCTCCAGCAGCACTCTGCCAGCCAAAAACAGGCCAGGGGTGTGTGCATGCGGCCCATTTTGTCCGGTAGAGGCACCGTGGGCCAGTTTTTTGATATTTCCAAGCTGGCCCTTTGGGCTGGATTTAAGCACCTTGCCAGCCAGATCCAGCCTGCGGGCCTTGAGTTTGACATCCCTGCCTTAGAACTTTAGCAGAATCCAAATCAACTCACACATTTTGTAATTTAAGAAGTCTCATGATTTCCAATGATTGGCTCAGTTATTACTAGTGTGATAAATAAGTTTATGCAGTACATTCCTGAATGGAAAATGCAATTTTCCCTTTAGATACAAACACTACATTGGTCCTCTGTTTGAGACCAAAAGGACAAACTGCATCAGCTCCAGCATAATATTATGGACTCTTAATATAAGCAAATATAAGAAGCAATTTTGTAATTCTGTTTTGTAATAGAAGCAATTTTACATTTCCTGTTCTGCATATTATCTGAAACGTAACTATAGAAATAATTTTTCTATATCAATTTTAAACTTGTCATAGGTTCTAATTTAGAGCTAATTTTATCAACAAAGTTGTTGAAGAAGAAAGGGCCAAAAGCCTAGTGTAGGCCATTCAGTGGAACTGTATCAGTGGAAAAGGTGATCGTCTAAGCTTTTGGGTTCCTTTTAATGAGAGGTTCTTGAATGCATCGGATTCAACAAGATCTTATACATAAAAATACATAGAAGCAGCCTTCCATGGGCCATTCCTTGGATCTTACATCGTGTGGTTCATCAGTATATTTACACTGTCTGCAAGGTATGAAAAAGAAAAGGGAGTGTAATACTTTCCATTTATATCATGTTACCTGATGCATGCCTGAAACACAGAATTCAGTATTCAAGCAGCAAATTTTAAAATAGCAAGATCAATTATTCTTTCAGGGGGAGAAGAGAAACCTTTTTCTATGCATACATTCCAAAATATGAATTAGCTTCTTAACTGCCCATCTCCCTTAGAGAGGAGCTCTAGGCAGTGTACAATTTAATCAATAAAGTTAAGCATTAAAAACAGAATAATTTAAGATTGAAAATTTTAAATATATATAAAACAATATTATAAAATTACAAAAGATGAAGCGTTCCAAGATGGGGAGGTTAGCAGATTAATCTATTAGCACAAGGAGAGCAACCTGTCACCTTGTAGATGTGAATTTTGACTCCTATTAGTCCCAAGCAACATAGGATAATATATGAAGGAATACATTTAGGATCATAAGGAACTGAATCAATAGGCTATACAGTATATTGCTGGTTTCTCCATTAGGACAACACTATTCTTTGCAAAGCTTATCTCCTCTCATGAATTCATTTAGAAGTAGAAGCAATTATTTCTAGGTTTATATTTTAACCTGAAAGCCTATTAGTTTTCAAACAGAACATTTTCAAATACAGTTCTATTCTTAGAAGAAAGGGAATTATTAATATTGGATCTAATCAAGTCTGAGTCTCAAGCTTTTTTTGCACACAGAAAATGTACTTTCCAATCACTGACATGAGGAATAATTAAAAGCAATTGCTTTATGGCATTTTGCAGTTCAATCATGCACCTTCTTTATATTCTTGGTTCTATCAAGTTGTTATTAACAATTCATTCCCTTGCTAAAGAAATCTTATCAATTCTTAGGTTTGAGAAATACGCTCAGGCTCAGCATCATTTCAGCATCAATTCTGTTTTAAGATAAATCGAAAGACATCGTCCGAGAGTCCAGGGATTGCTTTTCCTTTCTCTGAACTAGCATCGGTACTGATGGGAGTCAAAAGGCAGAAGTGGTTGCAGGGAGGCTGAGGAAAGATTTTATTCTCCTCTCTGTTCAAAACCATTTGAGCGATTTGGAGATTCTTCACTATAAATTTCATTCCCTCTTTGCCTGCAAGATCTGCAGTCTTAAGGGACAGACACTGTGAAGTTGATTCATATCTTGGACTCCCTCCAGATGGCTTCTTCTGGCACAAAGTCCTGTAGAATGTGTCCAGAGATTTTCTAAGGATGGATTCCCCTTCTCCCCTTTGCTCAGGAGCCTCAATTTCACTCTGTTGTTCTGTGTTCTCGCAGCTGACAGACTCTCTCCTCTCATAAAGGTAAGGCCACAGAGTGATGTTGGCTTTGGCATCCGGCCCTGGAAGAAACTGATTGCTGGGTTCTGTCGGGAAATAACCTGGAAATAAGAAAAATCAAATAGAAAAAGCTGGTCAGGGAATGCGATCCAATAACTAGCATGTTATGCTTGTGCATGGCCCATATTCTAACCCATGACCAGCTGGATAATGACAATTTTTGAAGTAGAACTCCAGTTTAAAATTCCCTTTGGATCAAGTGGGAACAAGCTATGCACTCAGTGGGCAAGAGAGAATTCATATGCTTCATGTGGAAAAAAATGCTGCTTCACAGACCCAGAAAACAGTCCACATGAAGGTACCCAACCAGTCTACTTTGAAGGAAGGAGAAGCACAGAGATGGCAATGGGTGCCACATCATTCTTAAGGGCCATTGTGTTTCCTGAGGAATGGTGTTATCTCCAGCTTCACCCTCCATTACTGATGTTTATGAAGTCACATAAGACATAGATAAAACACACTGCATTGAAAGGTTAGGGTTAGCACATAGCATTTTACATTTGTCTTGCAGGCAACAAGAGAGACCAAATGCCCATGTAATTTATTAATTGAGAGCCAGTTTAGTCTAATGGCTAAGGCACCAGGCCAGAAGGTGGGAGATTGTGAGTTCAAGTCCCACTTTAGCCATGAAAGCCAGTTGGGTGACCTTGGGCCAGTTGTTCTCTCTCTCAACCCAACCCACTTCACAAGGTTGTGGTTGTGAGGAAAATAGGAGGAGGAAGGTGTATTGGACATGTTCGCCAGCTTGAGTTATTAGTAAAAATAATAAAGGTGGGATATAAAAAAATAAGTACAAATTTCATATGCGAGCCTAGACTATGACCAATGTTTATTATGCCACCGGGGATCAACACTCCTTCTAGGCTCTCAACAATATTTAGAGATACTCTTTCTCTGTGAGGGTCATGCATGCACATCTGGCTTAAACGCTTTTCTGTCACCAAACAAATCATCCACTGCAAAATGAAATTTTACTCTGGATTTGCTAGGAGTCCTTTTATTACTTGAACGCTGTAGCTGAAAAGTTACGAGCTTCCCTGGGGAAATAAAAGGCTTAGAAATAGTCATTTTTCCCCTCTCAAAATGCAGATGATTCACTTAATAAAACTCAATAACAGTGTAATGTAGGAGCCAGTAGTTAGAATTTTTTTATGTTTTATAAAATTATACACTTTGTAAAGAAAAGAACCATTGGTAAGCTATTTGATTGCAGACATAATGACCACGTTCAGGTTGACTCCACTATTAGTAAACTAGCACCTTCACTAAACCAATTATGTTGGTTTATATACAGCAACAGCATTCAAATTATATGTTACATTTAGCTACTGTATGTCTAATTTTCTCCACAAATAAGTGAACTGCCTATAGAAAACTGAAATGTTAATTAATGCACTAAAAAGGGAAAACTGTTATTTAATAATTACCCTATGGCTTTGTTGTGTTTTTCAAAATTGCACCTATCTCTCCATTGCTATTTTTCTTACAGAAAGGAAATATGGATGTCAGTATAAAGAACAGCCATCCTAGCACCAATCTAGTAAATGGCGCATTGCCAATATACCCTCTGTTTCTTTCTCTGCGAATTACTTTCCTGCTGCTTAATTAACCTAAGTTTTAAAGTGATTTACATGTCTGGAGCCTCTCTCTTCTCCCATCCAAGAAATGAATATGGTACAGACATGGCTCTAACATTTTTTCTTCTTCTTCTTCTTCTTCTGGCTTTCAATCGTCTTGCCCGATGAAGATGCTTTTGTTCTGCATCTGTACATCTTCAATTTGGCTAATAAATATTTTCTATTGATTTCCCCCTCCCCCCTTTTACAGATGCTTGTTAGGGAGCAGTGAGACCGACAGCTTTAAGGTTCCACAGTATGAAAGATTAGCCCAGCTCTCCTTCCCCATCTTTCTTCTGTAGATAGTACAATGTAGGCCAATATAATCCAGAGAGCATGATTTTAATAAAGAACAATGGGGGCTGATAAGCCTGAATTGGATCTGGCAGTATTTACACTGCTTAAAGCATGTTGGTTCCTAGGCAAATCTTGAAAGATTACCGAGAAGAGCAAAAATAAGTCATGTGCTTGATTTTAGGCCTGGTTGTTTGAATAAATGTATAAAAACAGGGGTGGGCTGCTGGGGGTTCGCAGGGGTTCGGGAGAACCTCTAGCTAAGATTCTGTGCAGTTCAGAGAACCCCCAAATCCCACTCCTGGCTGGCCCCACCCACCCCTTCCCTCCCAGGAGTCCCCACGTGGCCCATTTTGGATGCAGTAAGTGCAAGGCGCGTCCGGAGGCTTGGGGAGGGCAAAAAATGGGTCTACCACAAGTTTGGGAAGGCAGGGAAATGGGCGCGTTTCCAGCCTCCAGAGGGCCTCCAGAGCCTCCAGAAGCCATTTTCGCCCTCCCGGAGGCTCAAGAACAGCCTCTGGAGCCCGGGGAGGGCAAAACCGCCCCCTCCACTATGGTGCAGGAGGCCGACTAGGCCACACCCACCATGGCCACGCTCACCCAGCAACCAGGCAGAGAACCCCTTGTTAAAACTTTTGAAGCCCACCCCTGGATAAAAAGTCCTAAAATGGCATTTTGCACTAAGTTGTCTAACAAATTCTGAGAATCACAGAAAGTCCTTGTGATACTGTATCTTTCCTCACTTGTCAGATTTCAAAACCAGATCAGACTGGTTTTTTAAAAAGTTCTCCAATTGTCTCCTCTGTTTGATTTTTTCCTTATTTCTTGTGGTAGTATTTTCAGTCTGAGCCATGTCACATTTTCTTTTAACAAAAATAAATAAAAATGTAGAAATTCCTATTACCACAGACAAGCACATACAAGTCTGCAACAAATAAAAAGTAGAAGTAGGGAACTGACTCCAGTCTCATCTTAAACATATCAGCAAGAGCAATTTAAAGAAGCAATTAAGGGGGAAAAGATACTATTTATTATTGACCATGACCCTAAGATATGACTGTTGAGTATTTTTCCAGACTGTAAAGATTGCTTTTCAGGTGTGTACAATCCATCTCCCAGGTCTAATAAGTAATTGCAAGTATCAGACGTTGCTAAATAGTTATCCGCTCTTTAACAGCCCTCAAGTCAGCTTTTTAGCTATAAGAGAAGAAGTTTTCATGCCATAAATGTCCACCAAACCTCATTTTTGCAGCCTCCAGGGCCTCTTCTAATTATGGATGCCTGAAAATTGGAAATAGTGTGAGTTTTTTGAACTAAGAAACACACTAAAAAAATTAGCGTATGGCCTGAAACCAGCTGCAATTAGTTTTAAAACACAAGAAACACTGCTCTCAGTCCTAAAAAAGCAAAAACACCAGCTCTTCTATGATCACCTTCATCTTTCCCACTGTGGTACTTTGGTTCTCCCACGTCAAATCAAACCCTCAGCACATCCTGTGGCTCCATTAATAAAAGTGAGGTTCCAAATCCTGCAAGCTTTCCATTTCAAGTGTACAGAGAAGAGTTATAAGTGATAGTATTATACAGTACTTTAAATTCAAAGCAAAATGAAGTAATCACCATACCACTTGTTCTTTCTAATGAACTTAAGGGTTTTTGTGAAGACACCATTCATAATTGGGAAGAGAAAGCAAATCTCAATTTGAAGTAGATAAAATGAATTTTTCTTCGAAATCCTCATAAAAATGGCATCCTAAAACAGTGTTTTCCAATCTTTTCAGTTTTCTGGACAGTGAGGGAGAGGAGAGGAGATGGTTCTGTGTGAGTCGTAGGCGAAGCTGGGTAAAGCTCGTGAGAATTGTGGCTGCTTTTTGCAGAGCCATTTTGCAGCTGTTTTTCAAGACAAATCTTGTATAATTTATTGGAACGTGACAAGTAGGCCAGCATTTCATATAAACTTGAAAGCCTGTTCAAAGGAAGCCCTGTGGCTTAGACACAGCTATTAAATAACAAACAGTCTGGGAGCTGAGTCAACTTACAATGTGGCTATTAAAAGGACATCATAGCATGAACCTCTTCATGCTTTGAACTTTCTCCTATTAATTGCAGGCTTTCATCTCCTGCATGCGCACTTTGCCACTCTTTAGGAAGGCTGGACCGTAATAAAAGAGAGCCTATATCTTTGGAGGTGGAGGCTATGTTTATGGGCACACCTCTGTAAACTTCAAGATGAAGAAGTACATAATAAGAGGACATAAAAGAAGAATGAGATTAATCATAGCAAAGACCTCGTTGGTCCAGCACCCTCGACTCTGAAAAGGCTACAGCATGACACAATTGTATAACTTCTCCTGTTCGTGTTTCCCAGCAACAGATATTCAGAAGCATAAAGCTTCTGACATTATAGCAAATATCATATAGCCAAGATGACTAATAGTCATAAATCAACATACAAAAGCTGAAAGAAAAGACCAAATTGAATCTCTCTCTCTTCACCACCACAACCCTCAATTATTTTCAGCCATATTTTCCTGATACATGGTGCAGTAAGAAAAAGATGTATCACACACTATTTAATCAAGGGCCTGGTGGCTCAGCAGACTGATAGCATTGTGATTAACACCAGCTGCCTGCAATTTCTGCAGGTTCGAATCTCACCAGGCTCAAGGTTGACTCAGCCTTCCATCCTTTCTAAGGTAGGTAAATTGAGGACCCAGTTTGCGGGGGCAATAAGCTGACTTTGTATAAAATATACAAAAGTATGAAGGCTATTGCTTAACGCATTGTAAGCCACCCTGAGTCTCCGGAGAAGGGCGGCATATAAATCAAATTTATAAAAAAAAAAAAAAAAAAAAAGCTCGTTCCGTAATGATTTTAAAAAAGGATTTCACCTTGGAAAAAATATGGAGTGAGGTGATCCAGGGATCAATACAACCTTTATAAATGATCTGGAACCAAGAGTGAGCAGTCAGATGGTCAAACAATTCAGATATTGTAGGGAGTTCCAAAATTATATTTCTAAATTAAATGAATGGGCAGCCTCCTTCCCAAAGTGTCATGTGATATGTAAACAATGGGATTCAGAGAGCTCTTTGAAAACAGCTGACAATATGACAATCAAGGATAGTAAA